AAAAAGTGAGCAAGCACCCACTATTTAATATTTTTTCAACCCTTTTTTAGAGTCTTTCCATTAAAAAAGAAGAAATTACCTTTTTGAGTTGTTTTTTGTAAAAAAGTGTTATTAGATTAATCTTGTATGTGTGAGAGTCCTACTTTACTTTATGGGGTTGTCTGTCCCAAAAATGTTACATTTCTTTCATTTCTATGCTTTAAATATCATATGGAATATTATTATCATATTTCATCATGTTCATAGTGTACATTTTCTACTGATAGTCTCTCAGATTATTTAAAGTATATCATCTACAGGATTAAAACTACATGTGACTTGATTCCTCAATCGATAGGATATGTAGGTGCCACGATGGCTCTGTCATATACCAAGTGTAATTTTTATTTCTCCTTGCAAAAAAACACTAGGACAGAATTTTTGAGAATATTTCAAAAATTCACAAAAAATGTGTTTTCTCCAGCAAGTCAAGATTGGAGATCATTTTGATATTTTCCAAAAGTCTTAATTGGGAAAGAATTTTTGAGAAAGACTTTGAAAAATCCAATAAATACTCCAAGAAGATTTATAGCCAACTTCAAATGATCCTTTAGCGCTTGAAGCTCAAAGTCAACTTGCGAATCTTCAGCATTGTCATGGAAAGTCAACAACTCCTCATACATATCTTCAATAAAATATGAGTTTCAAAGAGCATGAAGCGTTCAAGATCAAAATAATGATTGCTCACTTTTGCCAAAGTGAAAGGAACTTTGTACATATTCTCTTGTCAAGCTTTCCTTAAAGTTTGTTAATCATGTTGTTGGCTAAAAAGACATTATGTCTTCTAAATTTTCCTATTCAAATAGAATGACACATGAAATCATCGAGATGACGACATTTTTAAGACACACGAATCATCAACCTCGTTATACTGAGAAATCATGGGGTCATCCATCATTTGCACTTTTATTTGCCTAGAGGGCCTTGCTTTTTTAATTTAACAAAAAGGTTATGCATTTTTTATTCACCAAAAGGGTCATACATTTTTTTACCAAGAAGGTCGCTACATTTTTGTTTTCCAAAAGGGTCATAGAATTTTTTATTTACCAAAAAAGTCGTTCATTTTTCATTTACCGAAACGGTCTTCGCATATTTCATTCGCCAAGAAGGCCATTGCATTTAAGTCTCATATATTCATAGGTGAAGGTTGTGTACCCTATCTATTCAACGTTCAAGTCAGTGGAAACTTGTGTCGAAACAAATTTTCATTTAAGTCGTATCCATTCGGTGGTGAAGGATGTGCACCATATCTTGTTAACGTTCAAGTCGGTGAAAACTTATTTTCACAGATATTTGCATTTAAGTTGCATCTATTTGGAGGTTAAGGATGTGCACCATATATTTTCAACGTTCAAGTCAGTGGAAAATTGCGTTGAAAGATATTTGCATTTAAGTAACATCTATTCGGTGGCGAACGATGTGAACCATGTCTTTTTAATGTTAAAGTAGGTAGAAACTTGCGCTGCAAGATATTTGCATTTAAGTCGGACTTTCTTCGGTGGTAAAGGATGTAAACCCTATATTTTAAACGTTCAAGACGGTGAAAACTTGCGTTGAAAGATATTTGCATTTAAGTTGCATTTATTTAATCGTGAAGGATGTGTACCATATCTTTGCAACGTACAAGTCGGTGGAAACTTGCGTTGAAAGATACTTGAATTTAAGTAGCATATATTCGAAGGTGAAGAATGTACACTCTATCTTTTAAACATGCAAGTCGTTGGAAACTTTTGTGTAAATATATTAGCATTTAAGTCGCATCTATAAGGTGGTGAAGGATGTGAACCCTATCTTTTAAACATGCAAGTCAGTGGAAACTTGTGTTGAAAGATATCTACATTTGTCCTACCCATATATAATCGTTTCATTCGTCCTATCGATGGACATACATTAAGATCCTACTAATGGGTCACCTTTTCATTTACCCTAGCGATGGATAATCTTTTTTTTATTCGTCCTACCAATGGGCAAAATTGCAAAATCCTACCGATAGATCATTATTTTACTTCTTTCTTTTTCAATTTTTTCTACCTATGGACATACATTCAAATCCTTCTGATGGATTATGTTTTACATTCGTCCTACCGATGACATACATGCAAAATCCTACCAATGGATCAACTTTTTTTGTTCGACCTACCGATGGGAAAGCATCAAAAATCCTACCGATGGATTATTATTTTTTTCCTTTCTTTTTTCATTTATTCTATCAATGGATACACATTCAAATCCTACCGATGGGTAACGTTTTTATTCATCCTATCGATGGATAATCTTTTTAAGTCGTCCTACCGATGAAACTACATGTGAAATCCTACCGATGGATCATCGTTTTCATTCGTCATACCGATGGACATACTTGTAAAACCCTACCAATAGATCATCTTTTTTTTATTTGTCTTACCGATGGACAAACATGCAAAATCCTATTGCTGGATTATTACTTTTTTTCTTTCTTTTGTCATTTGTTCTACCGATGGACATACATTGAAATCCTTCCGACGGATCATCTTCAATCGTCCTACCAATGGAGATGTATTTACATCTTAGCGATTGATCATATCCATTCATCTTAGCATAAGAGATGATACCCTGTTCTTTTAGTTTTATCTATACTAATAAGTCTTATCTTTGTTTTTATAGAACATCCCAGAGGATGCCCACTCAGTGGAGCCACATATGCTGATTACTTCAAAAAGTACGCAACTCTACGGGGAACCTTTTAGATGCAAGTTCGGGTCCAACATCCACTACATTTTAAACACACTATTATATAAAGGTCATGTATTTTTGTCAAAATTGTGTTTGTCAATTTTTGTTGTCTACGATTTCTTTCATCAATTACATCCAACGAAAGGGACAACTATTTACACCAAATTTTGGCCTAACATTTTCAATATTTGTAATTTTTTAATTTATTTTTTGAATAGTTCAAAATATATATTTTTTATAAGTTAAAACAAGTTTATCGATAACTATCCTTATTTGTCAAAATTTAGGATTTATTATTAGTTCATCATAATTACACTTTTTTCTTAGCTGATTAAATACATTCAAATATTTGTTTTTATTTTTATTTTGATTTTAAATCAATATTTTTTGTTAAATTCATCCCATTAGTCACATTTATCTTCTGCGATGCATAAATATTGACTCACGATGCATGAATATTGACTCGCGATGCATAAATATTGACTCGCAACGCATGAATATTACTTCTTGATGTCATCCTTGGTACCAAATGAAGACAGTTCTTCAATCGAGCAACGTAGTGATCTTTTTGGTGCCTTCTGGATAGGCATATCGTCTCAAATCATGATATCGGTAAAATAACTTCGAGATAGTATATTGTCTTGATCGGCAATAAAATAACTGATCCCTCAGGGTAATTCATAATATCATATCCGATATTATGATGCAAATGATGTCCTTTACGGAAACTGTAAACTCTTCATTGAGATTTTTGCTTGATTCACCTTCGAATCTAGCTGCACGTTCTTTATAAATTTCATGTTGTAGGAAATTGATTGAAATAAATAATTCATATTCCCAAATCTCCGACATAAGCGATATAAAATGCTAAGTGCTTCTAGGAAAACTAATGATTTTTGGATAGTTTTCTCCTCCTATGACTTCTCCATATTCATCCATCGCAAGAATTTGCTGATTTTAAAGCAAAGCTATTAACCTGCGTCCACAGAAAAAATTGTTAGTTTTAAAACCAAATTGATCTGTGTCGATCTCTTAAGTTGTTTTCCCCTTGTCCTGCTATCTCCGGTTGATTTCCCTATCTCCCAACTCTTGACAAATAAGACAAAATATTTTATGTCAAAACAAATAAAACGTAAAAGTGAAATTTTAAGAGAAATAAATTTTGAGAAATAGTATCTGAAAAAGGTTACTGCCAAGTCATGTCATATCAGGCTTAAAAAACTTCTTTGAGTCTGATTCTTAGAGGTTTATCTGATTATTCGCTGGGGAGTTTTAAGAGTCACTCTAGACTTGTAGATTAACCCATGCTGAAATTTTGATGTCATCCTCAAAATTTCTGTCCCAATTAACTGTCTTGCTTATCTTTCCACTGTTACTGAGTAGATCGCAGAATTTTTGAGATGTTCTTCAAAATTCTATCCCAATTGCAAATCTCAAAACATCTTTAGTCTTGACTTGCTGAGGAAGAATCTTCTTCTCGAGAATTTTGAGTAGCTCTCAAAAATTCTATCTCGGTTTCTATTGTAAAGAGGAATAGAAATCTTATGGGAGATATGACCAAAACCTTGTGGCGCCTACGTATCCCGTTGAGCAAGGAATTAGGTCAAACTTAGTTCCCTCAAGGTTAACAACAATAATAAAAATTAAAAAAAATGACCAAGGCCGACATAGGCCGCCTACGTATCTCATTCTTGAGAATTCAGGTCTAACGTAGTTCAAATACAAACAAATATTAGAAAGGATAAAAGAGGGGGTGACCAAGGCCGACATAGGCCGCCTACGTATCCCATTCTTCAAAATTCAGGTCAGACATAGTTTATTACAAAGAGGGATTAAAATTAAGCAGAACAAATACAAGGAAACAGAATGATTCGAGTAAATAACAGAAATGCAAAACGAAGCTTCAAATAGTATCTCTTGACGGCGTCTAAGTTGATAGGTTTAGGAAATACGGTGTCAGCCATCTCTGACAAGACCAAAGCACCTCTAGATAATACTTCGCGAACCATGTAAGGTCCTTGCTATTTTGGTGCGAATTTTCTTTTGTACTCATCTTGATGAGGAGAAATGCGTTTAAGTACTAACTGACCGATTTCAAAAGTTCTAGCTCTTACTCTCTTGTGGAAAGTGCGAATCATTCTCTGTTGATACAATTGACCATGATAAACGAAAACCATTCTCTTCTCATCAATCAAAGTAAGTTGATCAATCCGCTTATTGATCCATTCAGCATTACTTAACTCAGCTTCTTAGATGATTCTCAAAGACGGTATTTTGACTTCAGCAGGTATAACTTCTTCTGTTCCATACACTAGTAAGTACGGAGTAGCTCCAATCGGTGTTCTGACAGCTGTTCAATATCCCAGTAAGGCATATGGAAACATATCATGCCAACCTCGGTGATTGTCAATCATTTTTCTCAAAATCTTCTTAATATTCTTATTGGCGGCTTCTATAGCTCCCTTCATTTGAGAGCGATAAGCAGTTGAGTTTCGATGAGTAATCTTGAATTGCTCACATAGCTCTCTCATTAAGTGACTCTTGAGATTTGCACCGTTGTCAGTAATAATGGATTCAGGTATTCCAAACCTGCATATCATATTGTTGCAAACAAAATCAACTACAACTTTCTTGGTCACCGACTTGTAAGAAGCTGCTTCCACCCACTTGATTAAATAATCAATGGCAACCACAATAAATCTGTGTCCATTAGAAGTGACTGGCTCTATCGGACCAATGACATCCATACCCCAAGCTACAAATGGCCAAGGCGAACTCATAGCATTAAGTTCGTGAGTTGGCACTCGGATCAAATCACCGTGCACTTGACATTTATGGCATTTTGCACCAACTTGCAACAATCATTCTCTATAGTGATCCAGAAATACCCGTCTTGAAGGACCTTTCTTGCCAAAGTGAGCCCATTCATATGCGTGCCACAAACTCCAGCATGTATCCGTTCAATAAGTTTCGCGGCTTCAACAACATCCACACACTGAGAAGACCCAAATTTGAGTCCTCCTATAAAGGATTTCTCCACTCAGAAAGAAATTAAGAGCCATATGCCGTATCGACTTCTTTCGATTGGACTTAGCACCTTTGGGATATGTTCCAGACTCCAAATACTTCTTTATATCAAAATACCAAGGCAAACAGTTTGGTTCTGCTTCAACATGGAAACAATGAACTGGATGTTCTTTCAACTCTATATCCAGAGGATCAATATAATTTATATCCGAATGTTTAATCATCAAAGAGATGGTGGCAAGATTATCGGCCAATTTATTTTGTATTCTGAGAGTATGTCTAAACTCGATCTTATGAAATCTTTTGCACAACTTCTGCACATACTGTACGTAAGGTATAATCTTTGGGTTCTTCAAACCCCATTATCCTTGAACTTGATGAATCAAAAGGTCAGAATCTCTAATAACTAACAACTCGTAGACATTCATGTCGATGTCTATTTTTAAACCAAGAATGCAAGCTTCGTATTCGGCCATGTTGTTCGTGCAATTAAATCGTAGCTTAGCCGCCATGGGATAGTGTTGACTAGATTCTGACACTAAGACTGCTCCGATACCTTTACCTTAACGATTTTCTGCTCCATCAAAGAATAATCTCCAACTAGGATATGCTTAATAAATATCCTCACCCACAAATGATACTTCTTCCTCGTGAAAATAGGTCTTAAGTGGTTCATACTCTTCATCAACGGGATTTTCTGCAAGATGATCAGCCAAAGACTATGCCTTTATCTCTTTCCGAGTCACATACACCATGTCAAATTCATTCAACAACATTTGCCACTTAGCTAACTTTCCGGTCGGCATCGCCTTCTAGAAGATATACTTCACTGGATCCATTCTGGAAATGAGGTATGTAGTATAAGAAGTCAAATAATGTCTCATCTTCTGGGCAAGACACGTCAAAGCACAACACGTTCTCTCAAACAAAGTGTAATGAGACTCGTATGAAGTAAACTTCTTGCTTATATAATAGATAACCCTTTCCTTGTTTATTGTATCATCATGTAGACCAAGTATGCATCCGAATGCACTATCAGAGACAGACAAGTACAACAACAAAGGACTCCCTTCTCGCGGAGGAACCAATACTGGTGGATTGGACAAATAGTTCTTGATAGCATCAAAATCAGTCTGACACTCTTCAGTCTATTTTGTCGGGGCATTTTTCTTCAACAACTTGAAAATAGGCTCAGAAACTACGGTTCATTGAGCTATGGATCGACTGGTGTAGTTTAATCTCCCTAAGAAACTCATCACCTGTTTACTCATCTTCGGCGGAGTTAACTCTTGAATTACTTTATTCTTAGAAGGGTCGAGCTCAATACCCCTTCTGCTGACTATGAATCCAACAACATTCCAACCGGAACTCCAAAAGCATATTTGGAGGGATTTAACTTCAAGTTGTAATGATGAAAACGATCAAAGAATTTCCTTAGATGTGTCAAGTGGTCCGAACTCTCGCAGGACTTGATTATGACGTCATCCACATACACTTTAATCTCTTTATGAATCATGTCATGAAATATGGTCGCTATAGCCCTCATATAGGTAGCACCAGCATTCTTGAGGCCAAATGGCATCACCCTATAATGAAATAGACCCCAAGGTGTAATAAAAGCCGTCTTTTCTGCATCTTCCTCATCCATCAAAATCTGGTGGTAACCTGCGTAACAATCCACAAATGACTGCATCTCATGCTTAGCATAGTTATAAATCAAAATATGAATATTCGGAAACGGAAAACTATCCTTCGGGCTAGCTTTATTAAAGTCTCTGTAGTCAACACAAATCTTAATTTTCCCGTCTTCCTTGGCAACCGAAACAACATTGGCTATCCAAGTTGAGTATTGTGTCACTTCCACCAATCAAGACTCTTTTTGCTTGGTGATCACTTCTTTGATCTTTAAACTTAGTTCATGCTTGAACTTTCGAGCCTTTTTCTTCACCAGATCAAACTTTGGGTTAATCGGTAGTTTATGAGATACAACATCAGTACTTAGCCCTTACATTTCACCGACTTCGTAGGCAAACACAATAAAATATTCATCAAGCAAATGATTTAGGCCTTTTCTTTGAGTTTCATTTAAATGGATGTTGATCTTAACCTCTATAACGCATTCAGGGTCTCCCAGATGTACCGTTTCCATTTCCTCTAGATTTTTCTTATGCTGATTTTCAAACTACAAAAATTCCTCAGCAACATACTCTGGTTCCTCACTTTCTTCTTCGTAGTCATCAACCTCGTCATCACCTGCCTTATTTTGTTCATTCAGCTCGTGACATGACATGACATTTGTAAGTCTAAAACCTACAAGACTGAAACCATAAACAAAGTTAGGAAAGTAAAGTATAACAAATGAATAAATAGATAAGTTTTAAAATTAGAAGAGGCTTTCATTCAAATTGGAAAACAATGCAAACTTTAGCCATGGCATAGGGCCATGTTACCTTCTTTGAACATCAGGATGGAAATTCTAAAATTTAACAGTCAAAAAAATATGCAAAATGGTGGGTCTTGGGCCTATTCCGGACTACCACCGATTTAAAATATGCATGAAATGATGCCCTTTTACCGAGGAGTTTGGGGACTCAACATGGGCGTGGAGGTCAAGTTCCACAGCATCTATCCTAACTCAGCATCGCGGATACCAGCTAGCTCGACCTTTTCCTCAATAACAGCATCGATCTCCTCAAAGAGGTCACAGATTCCTTCCCAAAGGTCTTCATGCTCGGCATACTCCCAGACCGGAAAGGATTGATAAAGATTTTGGATCAGATTAACTAATGCTTGATCATTTTTTTTCTTCGTCTTCATGTCATCATCTTTGGGGGTGTACCCCAAACTATATATGGCTCCCTTGACGAGTACCAGAATAGGCTCAATAATACCTTGGGAATTTCATCCTAATCCGAAACCTGGCATAGGAATCTGTGGAGACAAGTCTTCACCCGTGTACTTTACTAGCTCCACCATGTAAAAATCTATATCATGCGATACTTCATAAATGATTGGCCCTTGTCTGCCAAAGTGACTCCCTTTTCCATGAATAACCAGCTCTTCGTTCTTCCAAATGAGCTTCATCATCTGATGCAGAGTAGAAGGGACAGCTCCAGCCATATGGATGAAAGGCCTTCCCAGAAAAAAGATTATAGTTGGTATCGATATCCAATACCTGAAACTGTGCAATGAATTATGTTGGACCCATTTGGATGCTCAGATTCACTGCTCCCAACGTATCTCACTAGACCCCCATGAAAGTCTCTTATGTTGACTTGTCTTTGCTCCAACTTCCCAAGGTCAAACCTTAGCTTCCTCAACGTCGATAACCGGCAGATATTCAAATCAGATCCATCATCTACTAAGACGCGATAGACAACTTTTTCGCGGCATACCACAGTGATGTGCAACGCCTTGTTGTGCGACCTCCCTTTAAAAGGCAGCTCAACGTCACAAAAGTTGATTCGGTACCCTCGAATAACCTAGTGAATCATAGAGGCCACTTTATCGCTTCTTGTGCCCGTGGGTACATATGTATCATCGATAGCCTTCATCAAAGCCTTCATGTTTGATTAAGAACTCATCAGCAGAGCCCATACAGAAATCTTGGTTGGAGTCTTCTCCAAATGCTTGACAATAGAATAATCGTTCGGTTGCATTATCCTCAAGAATTCCTCTGCCTCACCTTCACTCGTTGTCCTTTTAGCCAGATCCTTCTTTTGACCTCCGAGAGCAAGCTCGTTAGGAGTGTAACATCTTCTAGATCTGGTCATGCCTTGAGCAGTAGAAGTTTCAATAACAAGCTTAGGCGTGATGAGAGTTTTTGATGGCACCAAAGCAACAGCCTTTGAGGGTGTCAAAATAACGAACTTTTTCTTCTCTTTGATACTCAAAAAAGCTAAAATATTTTCCAAATCATCGTGAACAATTGGAGTAATCATTTTCGTTCCACACCATTCATCATCTGTCTTGATCATATTGATATTAAGGCGCCCATGATTTAACAATGGGTTAGTGTTGACATTTGGTGCCGCCGGTTGGAGAGAGACTACCTCTTGGTCAATCAAATCTGAATTTTGTGCTTGAGGTTGATACAATCCTCAGTATCATGCCCAACAATGTTGGACTGATAAGCACATCTCTGATCAGGTCTGTAGAATTTTGAATTGACATCCACGAGTTAGGGCCCCACAGGGTGGATGTATCCAACCACAGTCAGTCGCTCGTACAGCTTTGTTCGGCTTTCAACGAGCACAGTGAAGTTCCTTGAAGGCTTATTCTCCCATATGGGTCGGGGAGGGTCATAACTACCTTGTTGAGAAAAAGACACCTGTTGATGACTTTTGGTATTTGGACAGGGAGCTTGGCTTATGGATATAGATTTTCTTGGTAGTTTGGCGATGGAGATTGGTAATCCAGGGGAGAATTTTGGTATAGTGGAGCTTGGACTTGATAAATAGGATGGGTTGCTCGATAGCTCGACTGCACGTTAGCATAGTTGGGAGCAACACCCTGGTAGGAGATGGAATTTGGTAGGGTGGAGGATGATTTGGGAAAATGGGAGATGGATTTTTGTAATTGGGGGTGGACTTTGGTATAGTGAAGCTTGGACGTTTGGATAAGTGGAGGTGATATTCTGATAAACTGGAGGATATTTGGGATGACTAGCTTGTGTGTAGCAAGCTTGGTGGGATTTGTGAGAAGGTCGAGAGCTTGTGAATATGATGAGCTTCTGGGGGTTTTCCTTCCCCCA